GTATATCAAAAATATATAAAAATATTTTAAAAATCAAATGTAATGAGTAGAAAGAATTTGTGTCTTTCTATGCGATTCTCAGTAATTGAATTAAGCATTTCTGCTGGCTATGTTAAATGATTTTATTTACCATACATAGTAAAGTTCATGTAAAGCCCATGCTGTCCAAACGCAGCGAGTGCCAATGTGTGGGTGTGTAGGTGTGTGTGTAGATGTATTTCTTATCATATACGTATATGTACATTTATTTAAAATCAGCGTACCAGCTCTGCGCAGAGTTTAGGTATCTGCTAGTCGGACATACCCGACTAGACCGCTCTGACTTGTCCTTATTATATACATGTGCTTCCCCCTATCATTCGCAGCCGTTGAGAAGCGCGATGCTGTAATGGAGGCTGCCGAGGAGGGTAAGGAGCGTCAGCTGAATAAGTTTGACTACATCAAAATGTCGTTTAGCGGCCATCGCAATTCGCGCACCATGGTGAAGGGCGCTTGCTTCTGGGGCGACGATTACATCATGTCCGGCTCGGATTGTGGCCACATATTCATCTGGCAACGTCACACTGGGAAGGTGGTCAAGACATTGCTGGCCGATCATCGTGTGGTGAATCGTGTCCAGCCGCATCCGACTCTGCCCTATTTGCTCAGCTCGGGCATTGATTACAATATCAAGCTGTGGGCGCCAATTGGAGCAATTTCAACATTTGATGAAGCTGAAACAACAGCAGTAAGTACCACAGAGAATGAGAGAGAGAGAGCGACAGTGGGAGATTGTGATTAACCAATTCTCTATATTTTTACAGTTAATCAAGAGCAATGAAATCATGCTGGTGGAGACACGCGACACCATAACGGTACCTGCCCAGGTCATGATACGCATTTTGGCCGGCTTGCGTCAATATCATCGGATTCGCCATGCATCCGGAACCCGTGGTCTGGGCGTCGATAGCAGGCGTAGCCGCAACGAAACTCTTCGAGCCATCGAGGCGAGCGCCGTTGTTGCTGCACAGGAAGCCCGGCGTCATAGTAATGCTCAGCGTATTGCCGATAATAACAATGTTAATGAGGATGCCAATGTGGCGGAAGATGAGGCTAACAACGAGGGCAATGATAATGAGAATGTCAGTGATGCTAGCAATACCAATGAGGACACCACCATCAGCATCATCAGCGCCAGCAACAGCAGCAGCAGCAGCAGCGTAAATAACTCAAATACAAACTAAAGAAATCTTGTCAATGAGAAAACTATATAGATA